AAGCTAATCAGCTGCAATCGCAGAGGTGGACCAGCCGAGGGCGTTTCTCGTTCGCTGTAGCATAGGGGGTACGCGCGGTAATACGCCTCTATCGGACCCGCACGCGAACCGACATCTTGGGGGGGCTGAGGTCCCAAGCGCGACTCATCGTCGGTCGACTAGGACGCTTCCTATCGATGGAGTACTGTGATGCCGGTTGTGGAATTGAAGACTTACGTGCCGACCGGTCCATTGCTCTTCCTATCGATGGATCATTTTCTTTCTCTTACAAACCCCCTTCTTTTTTCTCTCCCTCTATCTCCATTATTATTGCCTACTTCCTTGTCGTCGTTCTCTCCCCGTTTCTCCGTCGTTTCCCCTTTTCTATCTTCATTATCCTTCTGCGCGCCATAACCTCTGAGCATTGCTTTCCTCCTTCATCATGCCTACCTTCGCACCATCTTCCTTCATTCCCTCTCTTCCTTTTTCCTCTCCTTCTTCCTCTTCTTCTTTTTTTACGATCATCTCCTTCCCTGTGATTTCCTTCCTTCCTCCTCGCGATTTTCTCTTTTCCTCATCGTGATTTTCTTCTCTCCCTCCCGGTGTTCCTTTTGCTTCACACAATAGTCGTGCCAACCATCTTTAAGACGAAATCATGGTATTTTTAATAACAATAATAATAATAATAATAATAATAATAATAACAACTTAAATGAACGCAAGCCACATCTGTAGGTCAGGCACAGACCGAGCAACGGATCACTACATTTTCGGAAGAGCCTGACTGCTCGACCGCCGTGACGACGATCTATGAATTTCCTTGGTAAGTTTTTTTTTTCTTTTTTTCTTTTTTTCTTTCCCTTTCTTCCCTCAAACTTACACGTGCATACGCAGTAGTGTACACCCCCACGTTTTAACTTCAGATTCAATCGACTTGGTTCCCTCTTTTGATGGAAGCACTACCGAGTCAATAACGACCCTGAAAACTTGTCTGTTCTCCCTCTCTCTTTTTCGTAATTTCAATACGATCCGTCATGACGTACAATATATCGGGACCAGGCCATGGGCCACATGACATACACAAGCACGCATTCAGCAAGTCGGGCAGGTGACGGGCCCAAACCCCACCGCAAAAATCGCTCATCTACCATCAGAAAATTAGTCATCATTCCTACACTAACTGGAAGCACATCAGCAGCGTGTATAGAGAGTTTCTCGTAACTCAAGTACACGGTTTCAAAACTCATGTTCGGAATACTGCCATCATCGATCGCCTGGCCAGGTAAGTATTTTTTTCCCTTCCTCTTCTTTCTATTTCCCCCTCTCCTGATAAGGTTCATTGAACTTCTCACAACACCCTCCGTCGAGATCATCACTATCCGGATACTTCACCGAATTATTCAATCGGTAGCAGCGACGACTGGTGTGTCCCAAAGGCCAGAGCAAGATCAACGCAATCTGATGACTTGCACATACTAGGCATTCCTCATCCAAGATTGATAATTACAATAACCTATACTCGTCATGGCGGGTTTCGGGCGCGACAGTCCCACACCCAAACGTAAAGTTATTTTTGATGTCGGACCTCACAGTCGCATCACACAAGAGTTTTAGAAGTGTTTCAGCTAAGACCAACTCCACCGTGCGCGCCAGCTATACCTCCCGAGACTCCCTGCGGCAGGAAAGAGACCCCGCGAGGTACAACTCACCTCCACCTGCGGGAGCTGACACCATCCCTTAGGTGGGCGTATCCCTGCTGAGCTACTGACTCATGTGCGAAGGCTTTGACTTACAATTGCAGAGGTAAGTCAGCCGAGGGTGTTTTCTCGATCGCTGTAGCATAGGCATACGCGAGGTCGAACGTCTAAGACTGACCCGTATACGCGTCGGGCATCGGGGCGCTGATCTCCCGGACCGACTTACAAATCAGGTCGACTCGACTGACGAACGTTCGCGCATACTACGCTTTGCCTATAAATAGTTCCAATTGGTATGACTCATAACCTAGCTCATTTTTCCAAAGCAGAATCCCCTCAATGCTTGAATTATCAGGGATCGCGTATAAGACACGTACCCGTCCTACCTAGTGATTAAGTTCATTCGACATATCTCTCCATGAAAACCCTTTAACCATAGCATACATACATGTGAAGTGAGATAAAGCTGGGTAATTAGGCGAGGAGATGTCACATTCACATAAACAGTCCGAATCCATCAAGGTCTTTGACCTTTCAAACATGTACAAATGAAATGAACATGAAATGAATAAGGTTTGTCGACTTAGCAACCCTCCTAATCTTCCTAACAATCAAGGAAAAGGGCGTAAGGCTCGGTACTCAAACCAATCGTGCAGTGATGGAACATCTGGATCAAGGCCCAGGATAGCATAAGTTTCTCAATGAGTTGTCGTGAATAGCATGTGGCTGGTCGTTTTAGTGACATGCAAACAAATTCAAATGCATTACACAATTCTAACAGAGTCAACCATTTATTCACTCTTACCCGCATTCCACTTACACTTCCAACCTTTCAGTAAGATATTCCTCTTTTCGACTTAATCATTCATCCAAATCTAAATTCAACCATTTCAAGGACCCTATTTTTACCAAGCACAGACCCTTTCAAAAACGACCCGAAATCAGAAATGCCTTTCAATGCAAAGGTTGATGCAAAGTATGGGTGTAGAGGATGAGTGAGAGTTGAGTTGGCGAACCAACCTGTTACCATAAGGCAACAGCGTATAGTCTTGTATAGACTCATAATGAGTCTTCTTTATCAGGATAACCTGCAAGCACAGACCAAGACGGTCTTCACACCTCTTTGCCATCGACATGACCCTATCTAAAGTTCAATATAGTGAATTTCGTTTTAGTCGGGAATAATATTACATCGACATAACTCCCTCTAGGTAGCCTCTCTAACTTCTTATCAGATCAGCTTCTAAAGATAGTCGTCTAAAGGAAGAAAATATAACGTTAACATCGCAAAAACTTTCCCCTTCAGACATACATAGATAAAATATCATCCATCTCATATGGAGTAGAATCATAAGATTGACATCAATCAATAGGTTAAGGTATTAGGATATGTCACACGGGGTCACATTCCTTCTACCTCCACCTTTGTAGAATCAAGAAGTGGTCCGTTAATAATGAATCGATCTCTTTTCAGGGTTTTCACCGTTCCCTGTCTATTGAGAAGATTAGTAACAGTATGGTAGACCACTTGGGATCTAGTCATTTTCACTAGACGTCTGCTTGTGATAGGGTGGACCTTATGGGCCTTGCTTCGCCTATCGCTGTTTTGTATCGAAGCATGGCTGGCGGACAATAAGACAGGCACCTCGGAGCCCTGCTATTCTTATCACATCGTCTGTGTCATTAGTGTGATAAGGGAGGCTTCTCGGAGCCTTGCTACTCTTATCACATCGTATTAGTGACATCATCGTGATAAGGCAGGCTTCTCGGAGCCTTTCTACTCTTATCGCACTGTTAGAGACAATATTGTGATAAGGCAGGCTGCTCGGAGCCTTGCTACTTTTATCACATTGTTAGAGGCATCATCATGATAAGGCAGGTTTCTCGGAGCCTTGCTGCTCTTATCACACTGTTAGAGACAACATTGTGATAAGGCAGGCTACTCGGAGCCTTGCTACTCTTATCACATTGTTAGAGACATCACCGTGATAAGGCAGGCTGCTCGGAGCCTTGCTACTCTTATCACATCGTATGAGTGACATCATCGTGATAAGGCATGTTTATCGGAGCCTTGCTACTCTTATCACCTTGTTAGAACATCATCGTGATAAGGCAGGCTGCTCGGAGGCTTGCTACTCTTATCACACTGTTAGAGACATCATCATGATTAGGCAGGCTGCTCGGAGCCTTGCTACTCTTATCACCTTGTTAGAATATCATCGTGATAAGGCAGGCTGCTCAGAGCCTTGCTACTCTTATCACATCGTGTTATTAGTGTGATAAGACAGGCTTCTCAGAGCCTCGCTCCTCTTATCACAACTTTCAGCAGAGTAAGGCCGGTTGGTAATAAGGCAGACTTCACGGAGTCTTGCTTCTCTTATCACCACCTTCCTCAATCGAGTAGACTCGGGCAATAAGGCAGGTCTCTCGGGACCTCGCTCCTCTTATCACCACCGCTAGTTCATTCCCTTAGAAGAAACCATGTGTCTTAGTATCACTGTGCACAGTGTCTGTGTACCACACCATCTATTTGTGTTTGTCACGGCATCTGCGTGTGTTTGTCACAGTATCCGTGTATATCTATTTTATATTTCACCGTGCCCTTGTATGTGTTACAGTGTATGTGTGTGTCACTGTACACTTGCGCGTGTGACTGTGTGACTGTCACGGTATTCTGTGCGTGTGTCACAGTCCGTGTGTCACTGTATCATAGCGTATGTGTGTGTCATTGTGTCTATGCCACTGTGTTCATGTATCTTGCGTCACCGTGTATGTGACACTGCGTCAGTGTGCGTGACACTGTGTACGTGTGTCTGTCACAGTGTTTGCATGACTATGACTGTGTGTTTCATTGGCTA